GGCTAAAAATAAATTTCAGAAAGGCAGCTGAGAAACAGTTGAATGTGGTCATTGTTCCAGGTGCTGAGTCTAAGGAGAGTGCCTAATACTGTAAGGGCTTCCCATAAGAAGTTGTTATGTCACTGGGAAAGCAGCTTGGCCATTTATGTCATGATAGCTCAAAGGTCTGGTCAGTTGGTGCTTTACATTTGCAAAATAAACCTCTTGCCACCTCAACTTCGTGAGTGTGGATATTTCTCACTGCCTTAGGGATTGGCTGAGCCTTGTTTTCAAGGGGTCTTTTTGTGGAAGAGCTCTTACTTCAGATGTTTGTGTTAACACTGGGAGTAAATAGCAACTTGTTTGATTTCCTTAGAAGTAGATAATATCTTGGCTTTGATGTGGCCAATAGTAACAACTCCTCAGGAATTCTGTTGAAGTGTAATCCACATTAAGCAACTTCTCTCCCCAAGTACTGATTTAAAAAAAGTGCTCAATGACTTGCTGTAAGTTGTCATAATGTTTGGCCATCCCACCTTTCCTGGAGAAGGACTGGGTGACCTAATCCTCCTCACCCTTCACACTGGAGAGGTTTACTGGAACTTGCCACAACACAGAAAGAATGTCAAACAGCCTTTTGAGCTACAGATTGCCAGTCACCTCTGAAATCTGTGTGTCCCTTCATTGCACTCCTTTCCCTAAAGCCATCACTGTGGGAGTAGTTGCTGGCCACTGTAGGCAGGATTCAGAGGAAGAGACTGAACTTCAGTACTCAATGGAAAGAGGTATGTGATCCAGAGCATCAACAGCTGCTGGTGGCTCTGCTTGTTTCTCGATCCTCTCAGTTGTAAAGCTGGCAGGCTTTTATAGGAGCTGAGAAAATCCTCAGTAATTAAGGGAACAAGCTTTCTGGTGCAGTGTTTAGGATTTTGCAGAGGTTACATTTGTAGCTTTTTGTTTTAAACTCCTTTTTATACTTGATTTTAGTTACATTAAAAGATCTTTCTTCGAGAAAGTGTTTTTCTTATTAACTGTGGTGCTGTTGGGTTTTTGTTCCTCAGCCAGAGGCACATTTAAAGAAGTCAGACTGGCACTGTGTGTGGTGCTTCTGACTATTCCTAATATCTGCTACAAGATGTGTCTGTCATACCTTTTAACAACTGTTATGTCCAGCTTTCTTGTGCTCACATGGGTTCCTCACCCTAAAGTGTTCTTCAAATGCATCTAAACCCCTACATCATTTTGCTGGCTCCATTTATACCAGAACTGCCTTCCTGACAGAGCTCTGTGAGGACAGAAAATGCTGAGTTACCAGTGAACACAATCAATACTTCATCTACTTGGAAATTCTTTCTTAACAGCAAAGCTACCGAGTGCTTCAGTAGATGGTTCAGTCACAGCCTGTACATTGATCCATGAAGAGATTTATGCATCTTGCATTCAAGGAATGAATGAATATTTCCTAGTGAAGACTGTGCAGCTTAAGCTTGATTTATTTCATATGGATTCTGCACCAAAAAGCTACTTCTTTACCAGAAATTAATCAAGGAAGAAATAGGGAAGTGCTGCATTAGGTTGATAAAGGAGAAATGGTTGTGTCAGTGACATCTGAGCAAAGACATGGGCTGAGGGACACCTCTAGTTGAGAACATTAATAACAAAGGAGGGATGACTGGTACCAGGGAAACAGAAGACAGGGTTCTTTTTATCAACATTAGTTTCTTATTTTTTTAAATCTCAATGTAACTAAATACTTGTAAAGTTCATTAGACAACTTGAATTCTTCATACACTGGTGTAACTAAATCAATTGAGATCCATTTGTCTTTCCTTCTACCAACTAAAATTTGGTAACATCAACCCCCCAAACCTTGTTTTCCATTGGATTTTTATATCAAGCTAGCTAAGAAACACATCTTCTAGGTAGAGACCCACCACTTTAACCATTATATCATATCAGCACTTTATGAAGTTGCAAAATTAATCTGTTGCTAACAGGTGAGGTGTATGGAGAGCTTTTAGGTTCTTCCATGTATTTCTCACTGATAGCAAAGGTCACTTCTGTAAGCCTTTTCTGTGTCAGATATATTTTGATAATTGAGGCAAGACAGTGCTACCAGCTTGGCTTGAAATATTTCCTTTTATATGATATGAGCTGTTCATGATGCAATTCTGTCACTGACTGAAGTCTCCTCCCTTTCTGTCTCTCCCAGACTGGTACCATAAATAGCAACCTATTCCTTGCCCATCCCAAGTTCTTGGCTCGGAGTTGTATTTCTTGGCTCCACTCAGTGGGTTGTTTACAACACTTCAGCCTTGCCCCACTCTGTGGGAGGCCCAAGGACTAACCATGGATCTGTGCTTTGCTCAAGCAAACCACCTTATTAAGAGTCTGGTTGCTTGCAGGAGAGGAACACCTAGGAATGGCATTTAGTCAGTGCCTGCATTTTCCCAAAGCCATATGGGAGCTGTCTGGCCCCTTTAAACTGGGGTTTTTCGTGGCCACATGAAAAAAGTCAGAAATGTCAGAAAAAATGGTCAGCAGAAAGACCAGGTGGTCCTTTTGGGTAAAGGGTGAAGTCTGTGACAGGGTAAAGGAAGTTCATGCTGCTTCCATGCTACCACATTATTAGACAGCAGAAACTTGGCCTGCTGTTCAGCACTGGTTTGCTTTTCAGAATGCAGTTTGTCTTGAGTATTTTTGGTTAGTAGGAAGCGCTGAGACTTGGCTTCAGAAGCAAAGCTGCTGTAGAACTTGATACTGTTCCAATCGTGTCAGCAAAATAGGAAACCCACTTGCTGCTGTGTTATCAGTTTTGTTTCCTCGTATTCATTAAGGCAGAAGTCCTCCCACTAACAAACCAGTTAAAGATCTGAAAGTCCATGATGTATGTTTTGAATATGAATTGGAAAATACCAATTATACCAGTAGTTGTTATGTACTTGATGGTCTGCTTTCCCTGCCCTGAGTTGACCAAGGTCAGTTCTTTGCTAGCCTTAAAAGCAAGCTCATAAAATGAGTCTATCTGTAAAGTAGCATCATGGATATTTATATTGGAATTTAGTTTAAAGACTCAACAGTGAAAATAAGGCGAAATACATGGCATATGCAGGGATATGGGTGGCCTTGTATTCGGGTGTCCCTGTGGGATAAAGGGGTGTGGGAGAAGGCAGAAGATCACTGTGTGAGTATAGGCACAGACTTATACACCCTGTGGTGTTTTGATGGAAAACACTAATATATCAGATTGAGACTGTTTGCAACAACCAGTATTTACCCTGTAATCTTTCCTTTGTCTCTCTCCCTTCCATTGACAAACCAGTCACTTTGCCCTGTGGCCAACAACAACAAATCCTTTTCAGAGCTGCATTTTCATTTACACATTCTTTTCTTTGATTAAGAGACACTGACAATTGGCTCTGAAATTCAGAGTATAGCAAGATTTTTAGGAGCTCCCTGAACTGGGCATTTCAAAGTAGCATAGTCACCAAGGTTTCCTTTTATTCAACTTTTTCCTACTGCTGGAAGAACTAGAAAAATGGTTCTAAATGGATGACTTAAGTTGTACAGGAAGGGTAGCCACTCTCAGGAAACAGCTTTGAAGGGCACCACAGGGAACAGTGTAAAGAGCTGGGAAGAGCTGCTGTGCCTGAAAGGTGGATTCTTCCACTGAGGAAGTTTAGTGTACTAGAATTAAGATTTTATATTGTGCAGTGTGAAGGGAATAGGAACAGGATGCAGATGTGGTGGGTGCAGATGTCAGAGTGATAGCCTGCAGCATAAAATAGCTATCTAGGAAAATCAGTTGTAAAAGAAATAATGCTCATCTAGAGGCCAGAAAGATGCTTGATTTTATTCTGCCTGGGTGCACTTGACAGGATCTTATGGACTGCTCTGCACTCCCTGTCCTTTCCAGTGGGGAACACCTTCAGGAGGGTGGCTGAAGGGTGCAAGCATAGAATTACCCTCTTGCAGGAAACTTAACAGCCAAAATATTTCTCAACCATAACGCCAGTGCTGGCAACTACATGATTCCCATCAGGAGCTTGTTAACACACCAGCCAATCATTAGGCTTTGGTTATAGACTCCTCTGACAGAGGCTAAAACTGATAGAGGATAAAGTAGAGAGACTTGCAAGTTACATTAATCCAGCCTAACTTTCTGCTAATCCTTCATTGTCCCAAATACCAATTACTCATCTGTTGTATTTTAACTAAGAAGTAAATGTGATATTTCAGCTAAGGTTAGTAACTATTTACAGCTGAGACTTGTCTAGCCACAAATCCATACACAGCTTGCCCTTTCCTGGTACCTTTTCAGATGGAAGGGTGTTTGTCACAAAACTTATCCACGTGTTTCTAAGGGCTGTACTATCAAATTCTGATTGTTCTTTGTGTATTAACACATGCACTAAGCTTAGTGCAAGTGCCAGTGTCATTCAGAGTAGTTGGAGCAAATAAGAGGGAAGAAAACAGTAAACTGCAATAAGCAAAACAAAGAGGGAAAGAGAGGAAAGCCCAGGAGCTTTCAAGTAAAGGCATCTCAACCTCTGGCTACTGGGCAGTCATGCTGCAGGATTCACTGAGCTTGGTTTTGGAAGAGGAAGAAGAGAGGTCACCCACTTGACAGAACTGTAGGACACCTGCAGACTGAAGGTATTTCTTTGTCTAGTTATTTTTTCCACACACATTAAGTGCTGGTTGCAAGGGGGAGTGTTGGTTAACCCTCCCATGTCCACCTGTTTGGAGGAGCCTGTGCTGCTACAAACCAACTCTGCTGGAAAACTAGGGCTTTTAAAGAATTCATCCAACAAATCTTGGGGTTTTGAGAGGTAGTTTGATGAGGCCCCAAAAGGGCCTCATCAAACTACCTCTCAAAACCCCAAGATTTGGGGGACCTGTTCTGAGTGTTACTAATCAGCAAATATGCAGCTCAGACAGGCCTTGCTTTCTGTGTCTTTCCAAAATCCTGACACATCCAAGAGCATTCACATGTACAGTGCTGGTACCTCTCTGAGATGTGTGTTTTCACTAACATCCTTTCCTGTTGATTCACGTAAACAGTGCTCCAGGAGTGGTATGTGGAGTGGAAAAGTGAATCAATCTGGGCGGTCCCTGTAACGGGTGATCTGCTTTGTAATTTGTGCAAAGGAATTTCTCCAAGGAAACTGTTTGCTTTCTTCCCAAACACTTTGTTGCCTAACTCTTCGTGGAACAAAACTCTGTCTCTGTAGCTCATCTCAAAATCGTTTCAACTTGCAGCCCACATCCTCTGTTTGCTCAGCATTCCCTGGAAAGCTCCACCCTCACTCCCAGCTAATAACCACGTTCACCCACAGCTCGATTTTCCCAGTCTCTCCTTTGCCCTCCCGGGAGCACTTCCTTTCCCACTGGCCCCAGCCTTGTGAGCAGCTGGTGAAGGCCTCTGTGCTGGCAGTGGCAGCCCGGGATTTGTCCTGCCAAGCAGCCTCTTTTCCCGCTGGGAAGCACATCATGAGCGTGGGGACAGTGCTCTTCCAGTCCAGCAGCTATGGCAAAGAGGGGAGGCTGCTCTGCTGCCTCGGCGAGGGAGCCTCTGAGCCTGGCATGAGCTTCTCAGGTAGGATGCTCAGGGGTATAATCCTGTCCTGTCCCTTTCCTGGGTGGGAAAGTTCCTCCAAGTGTGGGTCCTTTCAAGTCTGTCTTTGTCTTGTAGTAGGAGACCAACCACAGGCAGGTCTGAGGTTACCAGCTTTTTTTACGGGGATTGTAGGATTATTGAAATGCTTCTTTTCTACGAACAGTTACACTGTATTTCAGAAATAGAGGCCACTTCACTCTGAAATTTATAATTTAGCACATTTACCTGCTCTAGGACCAAAGAGATTGGTAACTGAAGTGTTGGCAGCAGGGGTGGGGGACAAAACACCACTTACGTGGTGGCTGAATAGGAAAAGCATTCATATCCAGAGAGAGGCAAATTGTATTGTGGGAATAAAGGAAAGGAAGGCAAGGGATGAAGTGTACCCTCCTTGCGTGACTGTGTATTACTTGCACACGACGTGATGATGTAAGTTTTCCATTGTACAGGAAATGAAAGTGATAATACATGATTTATGGTCAAAAAGGAGCTGAGGTAAAACAGAACTTCCCAGCTCATTTCCTCACTTCTGGTGCAGACACAGCTTGCAGACTGTGAATTATGCCCCTCAGCCGGAGGGGCATAATTTGCGACGTGCTTTGGTTATCTGAGTTTCCTGAATGACATCTGTACAGTGATCACACTCCACTGACCTTCCACAGCCTGATGTACTGCAGGGTGTAGATCCCACACTGTATGGAGCAGCGTGGTTATTCTGGACTAACAGCCTGCAAGAGGTGCTTTTATGTCCTGGTAAAATCCCCTTTAGCAGATGTTGGGTAACCTTTACAGTTCTTTAAGCATCCAAGTCACTCTAACGTGACAGTGAAGGAAGTTAGGGAGACACGAACTCTTAAAAGCATTTGATTTTTAGATAATGTGATTTTTGGTAAGCACTGTAGCTAAGTGATTGAAGCTTCTCATCAAACATTAACTTCTGCAGGCTTTTTTTGTACATCAGGTGGGTGTTAAGAACGTGTGCCAGCCTCCTAGGCATTCCCGAGGAAGTGGTGGGAGTCCCACGTCTGCTCTGACTCCCCCCAGCCAATCCAGCACAGCCCCAGCTTGGATATATTTTGGGAACTGCCTGCTTTGTGTTTGCTCCTTAGCAAAGATGCCTAAGTCAGAGTTCTCATACAGCACATTTGACTTTGCTTAAGGCACTGAAACAGTAACACAAGCCGTTGTAGGAGAATAAAGAATGTATTATTTAATTAAATATGTATTTTTACTCCATAAAGAGAGCTGGGTTTGGGAACTGGTGTTCTTTCTTGGAGCTTAACAACTGGACATACATATGCACACACCCAGCCCTAAAAAAATACAGTGGGATGTTAGCAGCCATGCTGTAATGTAGGGGGGTGAGCATTGGGATTTCTTATTTTCCATGAGAGCACCCAGTCTGATGGGTTAATATGTTGTAAAACTAATTGCAGTTGATAGCTAGGAATAAGAAGCATATGTAAATGTTGCATCTGCAGGCAGTGCAGTCAAGGAACTGACATTTTGATGGCTTAATCTCTAGTCCCTTTTGTTCATGCCAGAAGAACCTTGATAGAGGCTATTTTGGCAAGGCTTGGGAGGTATGTTATTAAGTAATGGCATGATGAACAGGTTATGCAAGCAACAGAACTCTGCATTGTTACCAGAAATGCAGTCAGAAGCTACTCAGCTACATGTTTAAAATGAAAACAGAACAAACTTCAACCACTTACTTTCTCATGTACCCACAATAGTCGAAAAATTGCATTAGAGGCTGGAAACCCCCCTTATCCTCATTTTCCAGGCTTGAGCTCTGTCCTGTGACACAGCTTTGGCATGTTACTTTGCCTGTTACTTGGCACAGGCTTCTTCCTGTTTTGTGTCTCACTGACTTCCCAGTTTTCCCATCCTGTATTGGATTTGAGCTCTTTGTTCTCTTTTCAAGTGCCTTATAGACCAGCTTTTGCTCACAAGTGTAAATCTCAGGGGCCTGGGCAAGGGGGTAGGTGACCACAGCACGTGTTCTCTGGCACTGATCTGACTTCTCAGCCCCTCAGAAATGGGCCAGAGCAATGACTGTAAGATAAAGAAAGCCTCAAAGTGTTTGTTTGTTTGTTTTTAAAGAAAACTTTTTATGTTTAATGCATTTAATGAAATCTCTTCACAGTGTACATTTTCCTAAGTTCAACAAGAGAATTCAGAAATAGATACTGGGACAGGTACTTACATCAGTTGTGCTATCAGAGAAAAAAATATTTAACTTTACACCTTCATATTTTTTTGCTCCCTTGAGCAGCCCATGTGTATAAAATCCCAACATCGCCCTTTCTCATCTTAATATTGAAGTTCATTCTGCTTCATGTTCCTAAAAAACCTCTCTGTGGGTTAGAAAGCCAATGAGAATCTTGACATAGCACTCCCATGAAGTGATCAGGCAGCTTTGCTTCTTACTACAGTTCCTTTTAAAACCCCGTGGATTTAGAATGGTTTTAATCATCACAAAAACTGTAGGGACTTTTTTTCTTTTGTTTACAAACACATCTGATTCCCCCCCTGCTCCCTTGAACTAACTTGTCCTTTGAAACAGCAAAGGAGAATTGCCTGGGTATTCAGAAAGGCTGCTGCTAAACACCCACCATCACCTGTACCACCTTCTGTCCCTGCCATCTCTTATTTACACAGCCCTGGAACATGTTACAAGTCATTATCATTCCTGTTAATCCTGACTCAGTTACTTACACATCTCATTTGTGTCATAATTCTGCCTTACCTGGATTTGTAATGCTGGTTTCAGATCCAGGCTTGTCTACGCCCACCGTGGGAACTATAAAGATATAAAATGTAACATTTTGGCATTGAAAAGTTTCCTTCACTGCTTCATGTAATTTTAAAAAGCACTTTTAATTTTGCAGGGTTTTTTTATATATATGAATGCTTAAAAAAATTTCAAGTAGAGGCATATAAAAATAGAATTATATATAATAAATAATAAATAATTTATATATGTAGTTTGCTACTTGGTATCTGGGTAGTTATTCAGCTTTTCCAACCCATCCTAGAAGGAACCTGTAGAATGAAGAGTCCACAATGTGGGATTGAAAATCACTGATTTAAGAGTCCAGACATAGTGTTCCCTTTCCCTAAGGGCACAGTGTGCTGTAGGAGCTTTGCTCTGCTGTACACTGGGGTTTTATTTAAATCTATTTGATAAACTTGATCCATTCCACCAGAGGGTGGTGGGGCACTGAAGAGGCTCCCCAGGGAAGTGGTCATGGCCCCAAGCCTGACAGAGTTCAAGGAGCATTTGGACAAGGCTCTCAGGAGCATGGTAGGATTGCTGGGGTGTCCTGTGCAGGGCCAGGAGAGGGACTGGACGATCCTTGTGAGTCCCTTCCAACTCAGGATTCTCCCTGATTCTACAATTTACAACTGCACCCAAAATAACTGGCTCTTCTGCTCCTTTCCCAGAGGCCCTGCACCGCCCCTACGGCTGTGACGTGGAACCCCAGGCACTGAACGAAGCCATCAGGTGGAGCTCCAAGGAGAACCTGCTCGGAGCCACTGAGAGCGACCCCAATCTCTTTGTTGCACTTTACGATTTTGTAGCAAGCGGAGACAACACCCTCAGCATCACCAAAGGTAGGGCTGGGGGTCACACAGCACCTGCCAGCCTGGAAACTGAGTGGCAGAAAACAGAAAGTGGAGTCCTTGCCCGGATAGAAGTGGGAATAATGCAGTTAGGGAAGTTTATTCCCTGAACTGATGGCAGGAAGCAGACGGTCTGTCCCTCCCTGGTGCTGGAGGGACACCTGCCGGGCAGTTTTCCTCGGACAAACACAGTCCAACCCACTCCTGTTCCAGGCTCCCCAAATCACTGCCCTGTGAGATACCTGTTGCAGGGAGGGGCAGAGGGAAATGGTGGCATTGTGGAAGGTGACAGAACTCAGCACTTTCAACCGGGGCAAAATCAAGAATTAAACATTGCACAGAGACTTTCTGGTCAGTGCATATGTCAGAACATGCTGCAGAAGTGTTTTAAATCATGTGCCACTTACGGCTTCAAGGAGACAAACCTCATCCCTCCAAGAAGATAAAGTCTTTCTAGTCTAAAAAGCTGGAGTACAAGAAGCTTTTTTAGTTCACCACTCTCACTGCAGTAAATTAGGGAGCAATATCTGTCTGAAACTTTGCTTCCTAAACACTTGATATGTAGCAGTTTAGTTATGATTTTTACTGTCAAACCACAAACCCAGGCTCAACCGATGCTGAGTTTCTCCCTCACTGAGACCCAGCAGCTTGCACTGTGCTTACTCTGCTTTCTTCTTTCTGTTCAAAGGTGAGAAGTTGCGAGTCCTGGGTTATAACCAGAATGGCGAGTGGAGCGAGGTACGTTCGAAGAATGGGCAGGGCTGGGTACCAAGCAACTACATCACACCAGTGAACAGCCTGGAAAAGCACTCCTGGTACCACGGGCCGGTGTCCCGCAGTGCAGCAGAGTATCTACTGAGCAGCCTCATCAACGGCAGCTTCCTGGTGCGGGAGAGCGAGAGCAGCCCGGGGCAGTTGTCCATCTCGCTCAGGTACGAAGGACGTGTTTACCACTACAGGATCAACACCACCTCGGATGGGAAGGTGAGGATCTCTGGAAGGGTGTTAACTAAGGGGTGGTGCAGAATCTCAAGTTGCAGGCTGTTAAGGGAGGGGGCTGTGAGAGAAAACAGGCCTGCTGGTTTATTAATATAAGAAAAGAAGAAGTATTGCAAGAGTTTGGTGGTAACTCACCAAACAGCACTTTGGAGAAGTGCAGACAGTCCTTGTCCTGGCTGAAAGTATCTAAGGAGCGAGGGAGCTGTGGTTGGAGGTGGTGATAGCCCTCCACTGGTCCCCTTACAACAAGCAGAGCTTTGGTAAGTCGGCCATTTTAACCTAGATTAATATGTTGTGTTGAGAGATGCAAAAACAGGCCTTGTGCTTGGCTAAGACTTTCAATTTCTAGTCCTGTAAAGCACAAGGCAGGAGGCAGCACAGCTCTTAAGTGATACCTTAATTCTAGCTGCCTTCTGCAAGTAAAAGTCTCACAGATTAATAATCATTCGCCCAACAGGATGAGAACAAATATTCTAAAATCTGTTTCTCTGATTCTTTAAGAAGAACATGTTAGAACATTTTTACTGTGCCTGTTTTCCAGTGTTACTGAAAGCTTCCAGCTCCTTTCATTTAAGCAGATTCCTGGTTGTTTCTTACTAGGTCTATGTGACAGCAGAAAGCCGTTTCAGCACCCTGGCAGAGCTCGTGCACCATCACTCAACCGTAGCAGATGGCCTGGTGACAACTCTGCACTACCCAGCACCCAAGTGCAATAAGCCCACTGTCTATGGAGTGTCCCCCATCCATGACAAGTGGGAGATGGAGAGGACTGACATCACCATGAAGCACAAGCTCGGGGGAGGGCAGTATGGCGAGGTGTATGTGGGGGTCTGGAAGAAATACAACCTCACTGTTGCTGTGAAAACATTAAAGGTGAGTTTTCAGGTTTTCAGCACTGTTCATTTGGTCACCATTTATGATAAGAGGAAGGAAGTCGTAGTATTTTAAATTACACCACCTAATAATATGAGTATCAGAAAATGGAGTGTGGTGATCTGCATAAAGTCCATGCTTGAGAGTAGCTTTGCAGATCAAAGGTACCTTATCAGACCTACACCAGTGCATGCGGCTTAGAAACAAGCTGGAATTTTGGCCCAGCAGGAACTGCATGTCCAAGTCAGATCTGTAGAAATGGTTACCAAGTCAACTTCCCTTCCTCCAGAGGAGCTGTGGAACCTTTAAGAAGTCAAAGGAATTGGAAATATCTTCTACAACCTCTCCTCTCCTCCTGGAAAAATTCACCGTCTCCATCTGCCTTTTCTTTTCAAAACCTTCTGTTTGCTTCAGCATTAACAACTGCAATTCTGTGTGCCCCCTAAGTAAGGGAGCTTTCAAACTTAATTGTTATAGCTAAGTCAGTGATCCTGAGAGTCTTTCACCAGACACAACAACCAGGCACTGCAGACCTGTCACCTCACTGTGCTCTAGGCCAGCCAGGCAGCTTTGCAGGGCTGTGGCAGTTTGCTTTGGTAAAAAGCCACCAGAATGGAGACAAGGAAGCTGTGATTTATATTCAGCCTGAATGTGTGGTGTTAACCAGACCTTGGACATGAAGATAAATGTTCCCTTCTTTTTCCTCTCTGTTTATCTAGGAAGATACCATGGAGGTGGAAGAGTTCTTGAAAGAAGCTGCTGTGATGAAGGAGATCAAGCACCCAAACCTGGTGCAGTTGTTGGGTCAGTGACATACGTTGCTTTTCTGTTCTTACTTAGTCTTCATTTTGGGAAAATTTCATCTTGTTTAAATGCAGTGGCAGTTTTTCTGTATTTATATAACTTTTTGAATCAGGTCAGGTTATGGGGTGGTATTTTTGACGGCTTTATATAATATTGGAGCCAAGAGACACTAATTTTAAATAAAACATCAAATACAGTCACTTACATTAGTAGACAACTTTGCTGTTGAGGCACGACTACGTGTTACATAAAAATTTGCAGTATCATCCTCCTGTTAGTTTGTGTCCTTGGCCCCAGACATGCTCCAGGGTTCAGCTATCAGGCTCAGATTCCTTCCCTGCCCTGTTGAATCAAATTTACAAAATTATTTTCCACGACTTATTTGCCCGAGAGAACAGAACAAAATTGTAAGAAAATTGGAAGTGAAAGGAAAAATTATATGGGAAGCACAACAAATACTGTTCTTTGTACTTCTCCAGTGAGAGACATTTATAGAACAGGCTGCACTGAAGAGAACAAGTTAGTCCCTAATTAAGCAGAAGACACCAGGTCGCTGCTGCTGTGAGGGACCCTGTGTATCACCAAATAAGTACATGAGATCAAAGAGCACATGACTGGAAGAAATCCACGGGCTTTACAGCTTGGCTGAGCCCCCTTGTCTCACTGGCAGATGCACCATATGATGATCATTATTAAATAGTCTGCATAGCTGTTAATTCTACAAGTACAAAGATTCTTAAGGAGACACCCTAAACCTCTGCTAGTGTTTATTTGCATCTGGACTTCTGCTGCTTTCAGGAGTGGAGCTGTCAAGCCCAGCCTAGGATGAAAGAAGAAACGTGAAACATGTGAAGGGTTTTACTAATGGCAACTATTCTGTACCCATTTAAAAAACAGGCACAGATGAAGTGTCTGCCCAGCCCTGTCTGGTTCCAGGAGCAGAGACTCAGAGATTTGTCATCAGAGAGCTGCATCTTTGCTCTTTGTGATGCACAGCACAGTTGTGTTTCACTCCTGCATATGCAGAAGGGTATGAACAGGCCCTCGGTGCTGCAGGGGGAGTTCACAGAGATATGACAAGAGTATCCTGTTGCCCTCCTCCTCCACCAGTACATGCTTTGTACAGTGACTGCAGCAAGTAGTCATCCCAGGAATGTGTGAGAATGCTGCTTCAGGAGCAGGTCCCACCGTGCTGATTCCTTACCCACCACATGGGAGCGCTTCAAGTTACTCTGTAGTGACATTTCAGTCTGGAAATCTTGCCAGCTGACAGGTACCTGCTTCCAGTTGGCCACTCTTCAGCTTTATCAAGGCAGGGAGGGGAAGAAAAGGAAATTACATGTTCAGAATATGTCCTGTTTCATCCTGTAACCTTCCAAAGAACAGAACTATTGCTTCATGTCTATTATATAGGAATAGCAGTGCTTCCATAGACAGTTCCTCTCTACCCATAAAGTGGATGGGCAGATAAATAGACAGAAGCACTGAGTTTGACGTTGGGCTGCATTGACCTGGGTCTTGCAGATGGAACTCCTCACTTTTCAGAGAAACACTCATCGGTCCAGAATCCAATAAATGAACATTAGATCAGGAGCAGTGGTAAGAAAGGGAAGCTTTATTCACATGCTCCCCTCCCCCTCCACTGCCAGGTGTGTGTACCCTGGAGCCACCCTTCTACATCGTGACGGAGTACATGCCATATGGGAACCTGCTGGACTATCTGCGGGATTGCAACCGGGAGGAAGTGAGTGCTGTTGTGCTGCTCTACATGGCCACCCAGATCTCCTCTGCCATGGAGTACCTGGAGAAGAAGAACTTCATTCACAGGTGGGTAAAGTCACGTGGAGCTGCTGCAGTTTTAGACGGCAGTGATGAGCAGACACCAGCGTGGTGGCCCAGAAATTCCTGATTTTGGGGAGGTTTTTTCCAGAGTTAGGTTTCACACTTATCCATTGGCTGTTGGTTTCAGTACTGCCTGCAGTACCTTCTCCCCAGGACTTTCACAGCAGACTTACCATCTTGTGCCTGACTTGCCTAACAGCAGTTGGTGTTGTGCTGTTACCCCCTGTGTGCCAGACAGTGCCCACCTGAAGTGCTGTTTTATTCCAGATCAAACCATGTCATAAACCAATTACCAGTGTGTGGTGAGCTGCTAATCTCATCCTGTCCTCAGGAACCATAAACTTCTCACAGCTATGATGATTGGAAATTGAATAGAATTTAAAGAATTAACCCTAATCCTGACTTACCTCATTGCTCCTAAGAGTGATTCCCCTCAGTTTCTGATACTGTTCAGGGCAAAGATCACCTTGCCTTTACCTACTGTGTTCATAGAGTGCTTCCCAGCTCAGGAGAGTGAGACCCCTGCTCTTTCTGCAGTAGTGTCCTTGTTTCCTTTGTCCAGGGACCTGGCAGCACGGAACTGTTTAGTTGGAGAAAACCACGTGGTGAAGGTGGCTGACTTTGGCTTAAGTCGACTCATGACGGGTGACACCTACACAGCCCACGCCGGGGCCAAGTTCCCCATCAAGTGGACGGCTCCCGAGAGCCTGGCCTACAACACCTTTTCCATCAAATCAGATGTGTGGGGTAAGAAAACTCACCTTCAGCGCTCTTTTCCTGTCCATTTTGGTGTTCTCTGCCAGCCTAGATGGTAACTTGCTTTCTGACCTGGGCAGAAACGTGTGGGGAGGAGGTGGTCACATGCCAGGCCACAACTTTGTGAATGTTTTTACATGTGATGTCTTCACCTAGACTGGCCTGAGGTATTTGTGAGGAAATGATGCTGCCTCAGGCTTTAGGGAAGGGCACAGCATAATGAGCAACACAAGAGGAGGGCAGACTTACCACCAGGAGTTCTGTTTTCCTCCTTTTGCAGCCTTTGGGGTGCTGTTATGGGAAATTGCTACCTATGGGATGTCACCGTACCCAGGCATCGACCTCTCTCAGGTGTATGATCTGCTGGAAAAGGGCTATCGGATGGAACAGCCGGAGGGGTGCCCTCCCAAGGTGTATGAACTCATGAGGGCATGTGAGTATCTTCCAGTTTGGGGGACAAAGCCTGAGGGTGTGGGAGGGAGCCTGACTCCAGCCACACCTGATCCCCAGCACGGCACAGAAAGTCAGGGTGGACTTCAGTAGCTGGGTAATGAGGAAGGATATCACTGCTTAAAAATCCTTCAGGAAGCTGACAAAAGCCCAAAAGCTGGGAATTCATGTGATATTAATGCAAAGTGAGCAGAATGCCAGTCACTTCCCAGACCCTCTGGTGATACCAACAGACAGTGCTTCCAGAGTACATTCCTCCAGTGTGGGTTCAAACTACAGAAATGACACTTTTCTTCATGATCCCCTTCTGTGACTTTCCAAACTCCATCTAGGATCAAAGATGGGTCTGCCTGAATTTCAGTGTTAAGAGCATGTGAGCAGGATGTTGCCTGCAGTTTTTCACACACAGGTATCTGTGACTGGGCTGGATGTGTTTAGTCCAAGCACCCAGGGTAGCAAATCTGGAATTGTCCTTTGCCTAGAAAAAATCAGAAGGAGAGAAAGGGAGAGCAGAAAAAACAGTGGAGGGTGCAAAGAGCTGGGATTTTTAGAACTGATTCCTTCTTTTCAAGGTTGGTTTGTTAGGATGCAATAGGGTGACTGACTGCTATGAATTAATACCTGTGAACGATTCTACAGCTGCTTATCAGTAGGTCAGAGTCTGACTCCTTGGGCAGAATAAAAATTCATCTCCTGCCCACTTCAGGCACTGAGACTTACTCTGCTTTCTGACATTTCAGGCTGGAAGTGGAACCCACCAGACCGACCTTCCTTTGCTGAGACCCACCAGGCCTTTGAAACCATGTTCCACGACTCAAGCATCTCAGAGGGTGAGAGCTGGTGTTGTTTGATTCCTGAAACAGCACTGGGGGTTATCCCATAGTGAGAGATGGAGAGAGACAGCAAGATGAATGCATATCACAGTCCCCTGCTGACTGCAGCAATTAGGTCACAAAATATTATTCTTCCAACCTTCATTTTTAAAAAGTGTGCCTTAATCTCTGGATTTTCTACTTAGCTACTTCAGGGAGTAAATCTGTGCAACTCAGCTCTCAAATACAATCAGCCAGGAGGTAAATACTGGTGGGGGGTGTGATACTACTCAGCAGACAGGCAGAAGTGTCTGAGCATCTGCTAAATTTTTAAATCGAATATGAAACTGATCCATCCATGTACCTACTACAGAGGAAAACACAGCAGATGGAATTTTACCAGGGAGGATCTGTAACAGGTACATCCACATTTGTGTGGCCAGGAGGTTGTGAGGGTTTTTCTCTTTGTTGGTTTTTTTTTTTTTTTTTCCCAGTCACATACCTTTTGTTGGTGTTGGGAAGGAAACATGTAGTCTTCATTTCCAATAGGGAGGTGCAGTGCAAAGCAGCTTAGATCCAGATCCAGAGAGGACACAAATTTTGGGAATCCCAGGAGCATCAATAGGAGGCATCTTGATTAAAAACAGAGGGAAATGCATTCAGTGCTGACTTTAGCTCTCCATCAACCCTTAACCCAGCATAGAGTTCGATTTGTATTAGACCTCTTGTACAGATCCTACTCCTTGATTTTTTGGCTGAATTTGTAAAGATGCAAATGAGTTTGAAATCATCATGAAAAACATCTGACCCTGAACACCTCTAGACTTGAACAAAAACTAAATCCATAAATTATGTATTTCTTAATCATAGATCTCTTCCTGCCAGTCTGGATTTTCAGTAAAGACCCAGATCATTTTTTTCCCCCCTCTTCCTCTGCTGGTCTTTGTTTCAGCTATTCTCTTTTTTTTTCCATACAGAGGTAGCAGAGGAGCTTGGAAGAACAGCCTCCTCCTCATCCATAGTTCCTTACCTGCCCCGCTTACCAATGCTTCCCTCCAAGACCAGAACACTGAAGAAACAGGCGGAGAACAAGGAGAACATTGAAGGAACACAGGATACTGTGGAGCACTCGGCTTCCAGCTCAGCACCAGGTATGGGCACTGGGACAGGGGCAGTGAGGCCACAAATTCTGGGGTAAATTCCCAGAGAAACAGAAGAAAACCAAACAACATGGCATGGGAAGGTGATTTGTGCTGCTGTGTCACGAGGGCTGTTGGCCACCTCAGCAACCCAGTTATTTATTAGCAAATAGAAAACACTGCAGCTTTTCCAATGTTCTTTTAGTAAATCCCGTTGTATTTTTTTCTTTCATATTTAGTTTTGCTGCTTGCTTTTAAATGACAGCTTCAAAACGGAAGCTGACAATTCAATAAGAGATTTTTTTTTTAATACTTACGGTATTTAGGAAGGAGGGGAAAAGTACAGGAAGGGAGTAAGAAACTGGAATAAAAGAACAACTGTTTTCTGATGTCTCTCTCCAAAGTGGCCTCGTCAGTATAGGCAGCATACAAGTCACATGCAGAAATGGAAAACGTTAAAGAAAAAATAAAATAAAAGTGCTCACTTCCTCTCTCACTCTATCTCTGCAGCAGCTGGGCAGGTAACTACCCCACGTCCATAAAGCCCACTGCAGGACAGGGAGCTGGAAATGGAAATAGATGCTGCAGATTCACACTTGTTTCTTCTGCCCAGGTTTCATCAGAAGCACACAACCAATAACTGGGTCTCCTGCGCTGCCCCGCAAGCAGAGGGACAAGTCACCCAGCAGCCTGCTGGAGGATGCCAAAGAGACCACGTTCACCAGGGACAGAAAAGGTGGCTTCTTCAGCTCCTTCATGAAGAAGAGGAATGCTCCCACGCCTCCCAAGCGCAGCAGCTCCTTCCGGGAGATGGAGAACCAGCCCCATAAGAAGTACGAGCTGACGGGTAACTTTTCCTCTGTTGCTTCCTTGCAGCACGTGGACGGGTTCTCCTTTGCTCCCACGCAGCAGGACACGAGCCTGGCACCCCCCAAGTGCTATGGAGGGGGCTTTGTGCAGAGGACCTTCTACAACGACGATGGCACAGGGCCCAGCACTGGCGGGGCCGTGAGCACCAGTGGAGGGTGGTCGGGCATCACTGGTTTCTTTACACCACGCTTGATTAAAAAGACACTGGGTTTACGAGCAGGAAAACCCACTGGCAGTGAAGAAGCTTCAAAGCCTTTTCCAAGGTCAAACTCTACATCTTCCATGTCCTCAGGGCTTCCAGAGCAGGATAGGATGGCAATGACCCTTCCCAGAAATTCACAGAGGTCAAAAATTCAGCTGGAACGGACTGTGTCCACCTCCTCTCAGCCCGATGAGAGCACGGGGAGGGCCAATGACCTGCTTCCCAAAAGGTTTGACGAAGGCCCTGCTTTGACCAGAGAGAGACCAAAAGCAAAGCTCTTGCCGAGGGGTGCCACAGCACTCCCCTTCCGAACTCCCTCCACACTGGAAGAAAAGGAGGGTCCAGGGCTAGCAGCAGCTCCTAAGGGAAAAGAAAAAAACAGTGGCCCACGACAGGGGGCCCTTGAGGATGGCGAGAGGCCGGGGTGGTCATCTCCAGGCAAGGCTGCAGCAATACTTCCAACCACTCATAACCACAAAGTGCCAGTCCTAATCTCACCCACTCTAAAACACACTCCAGCAGACGTGCAGCTCATTGGCACAGACTCTCAGGGTAATAAATTTAAGCTCTTATCTGAGCATCAGGTCACTTCTTCCGGCGACAGGGACCGGCCCAGACGGGTAAAACCAAAGTGTGCTCCACCTCCACCACCAGTGATGAGGCTCCTCCAGCAGCCGGCTGCCGGCTCCGACACAGCGGAAGAGCTGAGCCCCGCGGCGGGAGCGCAGCACGGACTGGAATCGAGTGAAGGGAGCAAGAAGGCGGCAGCAGCAGCAGCACCTGTTGGTGGGAAAGCTGGGAGGCCCGTGATGCCTCCACCTCAAGTGCCTCTGTCATCGTCTTCCACGTCCCCAGTGAAGATGGCCAACGGCACGGCTGGCACGAAGGTGACGCTGAGAAAGACCAAACAGACAGCTGAGAAAATCCCCGCAGACAAGATCAGCAAGGAGGCGCTGCTGGAGTGCGCGGATCTGCTCTCCAGTGCCATTGCCGAGCCCACCCCCAACAGCCAGCTGGTGGACACGGGGCACCAGCTGCTGGATTACTGCTCAGGCTACGTGGACTGCATCCCGCACACCCGCAACAAATTCGCCTTCCGGGAGGCCGTGAGCAAACTGGAACTCAGCCTGCAGGAGCTGCAGGTGTCCTCGACGGCCACCGGCGTCCCCGGGGCAAACCCCGTCCTTAATAACTTATTGTCATGTGTCCAAGAAATCAGCGACGTGGTGCAAAGGTAGCTACTTGTCCATCTGGGTAAGAGAAACACTCACGGGGAGGGGGGGACTTTTTTTCTGTACTGATGCTTTCAAAAGGAAAGACTGATACTTGAGTATGTGAAGTACCTCAGATCACTGAGTTCTCCTCACGTTTACAGGTTCATCTCAAAGAAATGGGGATGGAGAGGGTAGATTAAAGCTGTAAGGGGCAAACATCGAGGATCTGTCTCCACCTAATCAGGCTGATCTGCTTGGTATGGCAAGGGAAGGCAGTTTCTTGCTCCTCCCTTGGAGAGGCAGCAGAACCGATAGCAGGTTCTTGCTCTGGGAAGGATGGTTGATGTGGCAGCCAGAGTACTGGGGTGGCTGCAGGCTGCTCTGCTGCACAGATCCTGCCCTGTCTGCACTCACGGGTGCTTTGCTCTCCCAACAAGGCAAAGGAAAAGCACTGGGGCTCCACTGGTACCGACGGCCGAGCAGTCGGAGACGGAGGGGCTCCCGGGGGGGGTCACGTGCAGCTGGGGGGAAGGTCTAATGCACTGACAGTGTTCAGAGCTGCTGGAGGTGGATGTACTAGCCTGGATGGCTTAACTTCCACAGCACTGTTGCTGCTGTAATGAGAACTGCAAAGTTAGTTAATATATGAAACTATCCCTTTTCCCTCCTGTCCACCTCATCCACCACATGTTCTCATCATCATTGTGTCGGAAGCGTCAGGGATGCTGGGCAGACTTACCACTGGAATACCCCCTTCCCCACCACACAGCCTTCACTCACTGATACCTATTTCTAGTGGTCTAGCACGGGTGCTGCTTGATGGTCGTTTTTGAGTAGTTTGGGGCTTTTGCACAACTTGCCAGTGTTGTTGTTGGTGTGGGTGGGTTGTTTCTTTTTTAAGCTCTAGGTTGTTTTTAACTTGTTACCAGGTTGACTCCCCATTTCAGTTTGATCCCCTTGAGGACCCACTATAGGTCAGGGTCCCACTATAGGAGCCTCTGCCACCCCTGGCTGTTCTCCACATTCCTTTAGCAGTCCCAGCACTGCAGGGCAAGCTGGAGAGCCAGGAAGTACAGCCCGGCTTGCCCCCCACAGGGATTCCCCGGAACTGTCCCCACTCTTCACACTGCCAGATTCCTGAGATTTGTTCTAGCCCTTACCGGTCTCACAGGCTTCCAGCTTTCCCTGCATCCAAGGGTGACAAAGTGTGGCAGCACACAGGGGAACCACAAGCATCTCTATTTATTTATTCCTGTATTTTAAAGGCTAGACCAGAATCCTGTGCTGTGCTGTAGGGAACATGTGCATAAACTGTGCACTCCTCTGCTGAGAGGTGACAACAGAAGTTATGGCTCTGCCTTGAAAGGCCACCACTGGGTCTCTGATGCCTTCTCACAGTCCCAGAGCGAGAGCAGCCGAGTGGTTGACATTATCTCCCTTGGTCCTGTACTGTTTGTAGGCTACTGGGGCCTCACAAAGCTGATCTTCTGTGTCTGCACACAACTCCCCGAGGTGTAGATGTGCAAGCAGGGAGACCTCAGCTGTTGGTTTGTGAGAGGAAGGACAGAGGCCTGATACCTGACTCCAAATAAATGTCACCCTGCGCGCTGCTGCTCACTTCACACTGTTGGTGACAGAGGATCTCGCTTGCTTTGCACCTTAAATCTTTTAGTTCTGGCTAAAATGCTCTTTAAACTTGTTTTCAAAGCATGACTGTGCTGCATTTAGAGTGTAGCTGGGCCAAGTGTGACTTTAGAAGATGGACACTTCCATTGCTGTCTGGAAGCATCACCCTGTTGGTGCTTGGGAGCAGGCTGGGCTGTCTAAGTGGGTGTCCCTGCTTTATCCACAGAGCACAGCAAGACAGGGGCCTTGAAAAATCTTTAGAAATGGGCTGGTGTCTGAGAATCCTCCTCTTATTCCTGGTCTGTGGCAAACAACGTTGTGTCACGGTGTGTGGAGGCACAGCAGAGGGGCAGCATGTGAGGGACAATGGACCACGAGAGCTTCCCTGGCCAAGTGAAAGGAGAGGGGACAAAAAGAGCCAAGCAGCCCCTTGTGCTGTCCAGTTCTGCCGCAGGATCCAGTGTGCCCAGGATCCCCTGGGGGCTCTTCCACAGCCACACCCAGCTGAGCACCAAACCCTTTATCTTGTAGACTTTACTGAGGGCTTTTGTGGTTTACCTTATCTCTTTCAACCATCTTTATGGCAGGTGTGCATCCAAACTATCTGCCTTTGGAAAGGTGACCTGCAAAGGGAAGGCTGCTTGTGGCATTGCTTCACATGGCCTGTCAAACAATCAGAAGGATTTAGAAGGTAGGGGAGCTTTCTTTGGGGCAGAAGGGCAGGTTTTGCTTGGCCTGGCAGACAATCATCTGCTGTGGTGTCATCCTTGTGCAGCTGCTCAACCAAGGACAAAGGGGCTCAAATTGCAGGGATTCCCAGGGGAAGGGTATTTTAACCACAACATTTTAAGGTTTAGTCCAGTTCTGATGAGTATTTTTTAAGCCTTTTCTTTTCCTGAATGCCAGTCTTCCAGAAAAGCTCCAGCAAAAGTGATAGAACAGCAATATGGAATTTCTAACTACTGAAACTGCCCTCTTGCAGCCCTTTCAGAAGAACCAGCTGTGTCCCAGTAAAGCACTGGTTCATCTCCACTGGCCATCCCCACTTCCTTTCAGATGCCACTTCGGTTTCTTCTTCCCCCCACAGAAGAGATGGGCAGTGGGACAGGGCAGCATCCAACTGCTTTTCCCGAGTCACAGAATAGCTGAGGTTGGAGGGACCTTTGGAGATCACCTGGTCCAAACCCCCTGCCCAAGCAGGGCCACCCAGAGCCCCTGCCCAGGACAAGGCCCAGGCAGCTTCTGAGTATCTCCAGGAATGGAGACTCCACAACCCGAGTGCCCAACACTGGAGCCTGTTCAGTGCTGATCCCTCCTGTGGTGGAAAAACGTGGGGATTTGCCTGTTGTCACTCCCATGGAGAGCATTTTCCCTGCTCTTACCTATCACCACATGTCAGGTAGGTAGATGCTGGCAGAGGTAGTGCTGACCTGACAGTTGGTTCTTTCCCCCTAAATCAGAGGCTGCAGAATTGCTGCTGCTTCTGTGTTTTATTCCCAAACTGCCCTCTGGCAGGATAGCACAAGGATGCTATCTGGGGAAGCTGGTTCTGCTGTAAATCCCCACCTAGTTCTTCTTCCTTCCACTGCTGCTTCCAAAATTGTTACTGTTCCCTCTCCCTTGAGCTAGGCCTGGCTTTCTCTTCAGCCTTAAAGGTCTCCATTGTGGCCAATTCTCTGCTTTCAGCCTTGCAAAGGACCGTATGGCTCGTGATGCTTGTTACTTGTCCCAGTAGAGAGCATGTCTTGCTCTACTGGTTGGGGCAGGGGATGAGGCATAAATCCTGTTGTTTGCTCTCCCCAGCACTGTCAGGCAGCCATGGGGGCACAGACACCCTCACAGCTGGGCACTGGTAGGGGCTGGAATTTAAAGTCATTGTCTTTGCAACAGGGGTGGCACCACATCGGACACAGTAACGCCAAGCACAGAGTGTGTGCTCAGAGTGAGCTCAGTGGGGCACTTTCTCTTCCTACCACTGTGGGAATCAGCTGACTCATAGGTGCAATTCTCTCTTCTTCCTGCATTTACACCCTTTTTGATCCCCAAGCAGTGCACTCGATTTAATCACGTTCTTTGTTAGCGTGGTTGGGGTGAGGCTGAGCCAAGAGTCTGGGCTTTGGGACTGCACCAAATTTAGCCACTGGGAAAGGGGAACTGAAGGGAGCAGCACTGCTGATGCAGAACACAACAGGGAGGGAGGGCTGTCCTTGTCCCCCTCACCCAGGATGTTCCTCCTGAGCACCACCGGCCTCGTGTCAGTGACGCACAGCCCAACACGTGCGTGTTGACATCCACCACGGGGGCTATGCAGGAGTTGTGGGGCAGACCATGCTCTGTGGGCGGCAGGAACTAAACCCCACAGCCAGGGGAGGGACACAGAGCAGCCCCTCCCTACAAGGCAGGGGAGAATGAGGGGTGGGATGGGTTACACTGTGCAGCCACAGAGCAATCCCGACCCTGGTGTCCCACCACTTACCCGAGGCAGGCTTTGACTCTGGGGCAGCTGTAGCTGTAATGAGCACCAACAGCTCCAGAAGAAGGTTGCTGCAGGGCCCACAGGCTGCTGTCTCCTCTTGTTACACACTCAGCCCAGCCTGGCTGCTAATGGGGAGCTGGCAGGTACTGAAATGTAGTGACTGCAGCACACATGGAAACCTCCACCAGCGCTGTCCCGCACCAGTGGGCACTGGGATCATGCTGCAGTTCCCTGGAGTGTTGAATAAGGCCCTCAGCCCATTCCCTGGAGGCAGGTAATGAGGTTCTGGGACAGCTGAGTGATTATCACCCCTACACACTGAGCAATGTCTGTACCAAAGGAGGTCGTTCTACCCATGTGTCTGTTGTGAGGCCGATGGGCTCGGCACCGCACGTTGTTTGTATTGGTAGTGAACTCATTGAGGGCAGGAAAGGATTAAAATTGAACACATTAATCACCAATCACTCTACCAGTGTTGTCAACTGGTCTTGTTTTTTAATTGTTATTGTAATATATTTTGGTTGGTTTTCTAATTTAATTCTCTCACTATTGTCTGACTGTGAACTGCGAACAGTGTTAAACTTGATGTAAATAAGGCCCTTGGAAGGGCCTCTTTGCCTGTCGTTCCACAAAGTTTTGCCAATTTGCATTTTATTTTAAATAAAGGTTGCAATATTTTATTGGCAAAAACCACTTGAGTAGATGCTGCCTTTTTTTTTTTCCTTAGAGAATATTTGAAGCTGCTCAGTCCTAACCTGAAGTTTTTTAACTGGGGAGGAAAGAGAAGATTGTTGTAAGCCTGTTTTAAAAAGAAAATTTAATTCTGCCAGATTGCCAAAAAAAAAAAGGCATCTTTATTTATATTATTGAAACCAAACAGTGTTGCCACGGTGTGGTCAGAGATCGGTGTGGTCAGAGATCGGCTGTGGCTGTTGGGGTTGTGTAATCAAAGCTCCCTCAGCTGTGACACACACACATGACCTGGCAGAGGCAGGTCTTGCATCACCCTCTTAGTGACACCACCACCTCCCTCACCAGTCTCAACAGCAAGAGCTGCTCAACAGGCCAACCTCACACCAGTGAGACATTCACTCTGAATTCCTGCCACCTCAGGCAGTGTCAGCCTAACCCGGACAGCTGGAGGCATTTTTATATTAAAAATAAAATCCCAGGTTATCCTGGCTTTACTCAACCTTCTGAGCAACTGACCTTCAACTAACAACCTGACAGACTTTCTGCTCAGGTGATAAAACACAACCCAAGTTGTGTCCTGTGGGACAGCATCCTCCCTTCCCAAGCTGACATTCCTGGATCTATCTCTCTCTGATGTTTCCCAGATTTCTGACACCTGTGATTAAGAGATTAACTATAAACAAGTCTCAGAAATGCCAGATCCCACACGCCGGCACAGCCCTAAGGTCCTCTCCAGACAAGAGCTTAAGCCAACTAGGGAAGAACTGGCTCGTCCTCCTGCCTTGGACTATGAAGCCTCGTTAGATAACGGAGCCAGCGTGCCCGGTGGGAAACACGGACCCAAAGTCTGCAGTGAGTCTGGTCAATCTTTTCCCAGAGGTCGTGCTGCTCACTCACTGGCACCACAAAGCAGGTCAAAGCTTAAAATAGACCAAAGGTCCCCCGTGGGGGTGGCTGGGAAGCCAAGCCCTGTCCTTGGCATGCGCTGCTTCACTCACCGCCAGCACAGCTCTGTTGGAAGGGAGTTTTGACCCAGAGGTCACAAAGTGATTCCCGTAACACTGTCGAAATTTTTTGGAGCTGCTGTAACACACTTATCACCTGGCAAGTACCCAGACAGCAAACAGGCCCTTGTAATAATAATAATGCTGATACCAGCCAAAAAACCACAGCATGAAACATGAAAAGAAAAATGAAAAATGGAGGAAAAAAACCAAGCTTCTTGGATCTGTGAAATCCTGGATTCACCTACAGCCTGTTCCTTCAGCCACCATCCTGCTCACCCAGCCCTTTGCCCCTGGCAGAGGAATTCTCTCCCCTTTTTCATTTTGCAGTGAAGCAAAAGGGGGGCCCTTCCCCAAACTGCTTAGAAAATGATTGCAACAGAAGTTCTCCTCATCCCTGCACTGCTTCCATACAACGGAAGACTCCAATGAGAGATGGACACTCTGAGGTGAGAAGCTATGGATTTGGCATCTCCAGAGGAGATTATTCATTTTCTTCATGCACAAACATGATCCTGGCCCATGTGTCCCTGAGCAGCAAACACCTTGGGAAGGCATGAGAACAACATAAGGAAAAACTTAACTCCAGCAAAACAGTTCTGTGTGATCTCGTAAAGTGACAGAACTGGGGACAGGGACGAGGATGTGGCTTCTGCCACACTGAATAGGACCAGCCTGTCCCAGGCCTGCTTTCACCACAGGGCAACAACCCAAAGACTTGGACATTCCCAGTCCTCACCCACATGAAACAGATCTGTCAGCACAACCCAATCTCCCCTTCGGGCCACTGCCAGCTAAAAGGGACTTAAAACACCAGACAGACTCCAAACACAGTCCCCGTGTCCCAGGAGTAAGGCTGGGTGGGATGCACCTCTCTCCCTGCAACAGCCTTTGGAGTAACGAGGGATTGAGTCTCTGTCCCTGGGCAAGTGCCTGGCTGGGTCACCTGCGTGCCCTACCCGTGCAAGGGGAGCAGCTCCCAGAGTGCAGAACCACCTCCAGCACACGTGTGGTCCCACCTGGTGGTCAAGGGAGGAAGTAATTGATGCGCTGGGGCACGGATTTGCAGCCCTGTGCAGAGAAGAGCTTCTCCTCTTTGGGGACAAACACCATCGTCCTGGCCACCTCGTCCAGGGTGGCCTCGGAGTAGGGAAGGTCCCGGGCCAGGAAGGCGTCCCGCGCACAGAGCTTCACGTGGTGGAACTCCAGGGGCAGGAATGGCACCAGGAAGTCGATGAGGTTCTCTCTGAGGAGGTGGCTGTGGGCATAACTGTTCTCTGCAACAGAACACAAGACAAACTCAGAAGCTTCACCCGAGAGTGTCCCCGCTCTGCAAGGCAAGGCTTGGCTCCGAGGGGCTCATCCAGCCCTATGTGGTGGGAGAGAGACACCCACTTCTACAGAGCTGGCCGGCACTTGGCCTGAGCACAGTGTCCCTACAGCTCCTGCCAAGAGACACCTGAAGCCCCAGAGAAGCCTTGGTGTTGGGCTGCCTCTCCCTGGCCGTCTTTGGGGCTCAAGGGGGCCTAAAAGGGCTCTGAGCTCCCTCCTCACATGTCTCTGTCACAGCAGTGCTGTGCTCACGGGACCCAAGGGGCTCACAAAGCCAGTATCCCCCTGGCTGGGGGTGGAGTAAAGGCTTGTTCCCAGTGCCCAGCCCTGTGTGGCACCTGCTGGGTGGGAGGTTTGCAGTCAGAACTGTCCCCAGCATCCCACAGGCTCTTACCCGCAGGCTCCTGCAGCTCCCGCCGCAGCTGCTGCTCCAGGAACTCCATGGAGATCTCCTCCCGTGCCCGGCCGGCTCGCCAGAAGTCCAAGGCGACCTCATTGATGGTGTTTCCACCAAGATTGCTGTGGACACAGAGGGAAGTCCCTCGAGTGTGGCCCCAGAGAGGAACTGCTGAGAGCTGCCAGCAGCCCCCCTGCAGCCAGGCCCCAGCACCTCAGTTAGCAACGGAGGATTCACTGTCTGGGATCAGCACATGGACCCAGCCCTCTTCCCAAGGAGCCCCTTTTCATAGGCACTCACACAGCTGTGTGCCATCCTGCCAGCTCAGAGCCAGGGGCAGCAGAATTCTCCATCGCCCTCAGTGCCCTGTCCTGGCTTGGGAAGCCGCTGATCTCACAGGTGGCACTTTGATCCACACTGAACTGTCAACAAACCACCACTGAAAGTCCAAGTCAAAGGGCAGAGCACACAGAGGAGTCCCACTGGAAGCAAAGGTCCAAGGCAGAGATTCAGGCAGCAGCACAGTTGGCAAAGCATCCCCTGCCCTGGAATAAAAGCAGCAGCCTCCATACAAGGACTCCTCTGGACACCCACCTTGGGGGCAGCTCTGCCCTGGGGGATGAGAGGTCCTGACGGCTGTTGAGGGTCTCAGGGCAGCCCCTCACCCTGGAGAGCAGGTCCAGGTCAGGCTGATGAGGGGTTTGCTCCCAGCCCTGAATGCCCCAGTAAACTGGAGATTCTGGGAACCACCAGTAAGCGTATGGTGGAAGCACCAGTTGGCTGCAGAGCTTGTGTGGGTGGGAGGCAGGGAGGCTGTGGGAGGGACAGACCTTGCACCCGTCCTTTCCTCTCGTGTCAGAGGCTCTGCAGCCCAAATGGAGGGGAGGCAAAATTAAAAAGCCAACACTGTTCCCCACCCCCTGCTGCCTTGTTAGGGGCAGAAGAGCTTGTACTGATCTTGCTCCCACCCAGACCACGGGAGAAACAGCCCCCTTTAACTGAGGACAGGCAACCAGTCCCATCCTATCCCCAACTCTCACACCTGGCCAAAGGCCAAAGCTGCAGGACCATGCCAGTGTCCACGGGAGCCCTAGAGCAGAGCCAGCCCTCCTACAAGAGGTCAGTATCACACTGATCACACTGCCAGCAGGGATGATGAAACCCCAGGGATTACACACTGCTGCAGTTCAAGGCACCCTGCTCCCTCTGCTTGGTGGCACGAGGTGGGTGACATGTCCACTCCTGACCTTCATGGCTTTGCCAGGCAGGACACGAGGTCAGCCCAGTGCAGCCAACAGCACTTTCACCCCGTGCCGAGCAACAGGGCAGGACCTGCCCCTCCAGCACGGCTCCTGCCAGAGCCCCACTCAGGTGGCACTGGAATGGGGTCAGTTCCACAGGCACTGGGCACACAGACAGCTCCTCCACAGGCAGGGAAACCTCCCCAGGGAACCACCAAGCTGGGGTTAGAACACTTGCCTGGATGGTGGGAGGTGGAGGAGCACTCTGCCCACCTCCAGGCGGTGGGAACAGCTCCTGCCAGAACCAAGCTGAAGGCTGCAGTTTCAAAACTGAGGTGGCCCAAGATGCTGGTCATTCCATGACATTCCTCAGGGGCTACTTTAGACAGGTGCCTGCCTCACATCTTGGCTTTGGGATGTCCCACTTCTCCCTGCAGCTGCATCCCACCTAGGCTTGGGTCAGGGACAGCACTGGGCAAGTGCCCAAGTCCTTTCTCCCTCTGGATGGGAAAGGAACTAACCAAACCACAGGATGTGCTGATGCCAGGATCAGCCCTCACAGCACCTCCACCAGCAGCCATGTCCAGGCAGTGGGAACCCCCCACCTCCCAGCAGAGCACAGGAACTTCCCACCAAGACCTGCAGCCCCTGCTCTGCCCCTGGAGTGTGACATCTGCTAAGCCAGGCAGGGTGACACCATGTTGACTCTCACTCTGCTTCCTCATCTCAAAGCCCAGATGCTGGCTCAGCTATCCCAGCTCAGCTGGACCTCAACTCCTCCCATGAATGCCCTGCTCCCAAGGCAGATGCTCAGCATGAACAGGCAAAACTGACCATGGAGGCAACCACCACTTGTGGGAACAAGACATCTGTCCCCTCCCTGCAGCCTGAACCCCTCACATCGCACACTGCAGGGGATAAATTCCATCACTTGGTTCCTCCCCATCCCTCTGGGAGCCCAGAACTCACCTGAGGAAGAGGAAGATGGACCTCTGTTGATCTGCCTGGCCCTCGTTGCCGTAGGGAGCCATGAAGGGCCTGATGGCATCCAGGAGGCTGGAATGCAGCTTCTCAGCCTCGTCGAAGATGAACAGGGACTGCCTGCAGAGCTGCAGGGTCTCGCTGAGCTGCCGCTGCAGCTGGGCCTGTGGAGCAGCAGGGACAGGGGTCAGGAGCCCCTGGGGCTGAGCCAGAATGCCACGGGATAACCCTGGCTGGCAGCCAACAAACAGCTGATCCCTGGTGCCCTCCCACCCGGGACAGGGCAGAGAACAGGAAGAGAAAAGGCAGGAAAATGAGTGAGGCATAAAAACAGTTTAATAAGTGAAGGAAAGAGGAAAGAAAGAAGTGAAGTGGTGCAAAGGCAGCCAGCCACATCTGCCACAAACAGAATGGTGCCCAGTCAGTCTCTGAACAATGGCTTCCTGCCTCAAAACCCCTCCCCCTGCAGTTTTTATTGCTGAGCACAACAGTAAATCACATGGAATATCCCTCTGGTAACCTGTCTGGTGTGCCCCTTCCCAACATCTTGTGCACCTCCAGCCCACTGACTCCAGGGGCAGAGTGGGAGAAGGGGAAATTGAAGGCTGTGCAAGCACTGCTCAGCTGTACCCTGAACACTGGAGTGTATCAGCACTTTCACTCACAGCCCAAATTTCACAGCACTGTGTGGGCTGCTGTGAAGGAAATGAACTCCATCCCAGCCCAGCCCAGCACATTGGACCTTCCCCACGGACACACTGTGTGGTTTTGGCTCTCACCTTGTAGGAGTCCAGGTACTTGTGGTGGGGGAAGTGGAGGAGGGAGATGAACACCCTGACGCAGTCGCTCCTCAGCCCATCCCGGTACAGGTGACCGGCCACCATCCGGGCCACAAAGTTCTTCCCGGTGCCAGACCAGCCATGGAAGGACAGGACCAGGGCCTTCTCAGGCTGTGGGCTCTGCAGGAACCTCTGCACCGCCTGAACCACCACTTCTTTGGCCAAGTGCTGCCCGTGGAGCTGCTCACTGAGATCTGCCTCTAGCCCTGCACAGAGAGAGCAGCAGCTCAGCCTTAAACTGCCAGCCCAGCTGCTGCAGGTGGGAATAAAGAGACAAAAGATAGCAGGGCTGCTTGGCCAAGAGGAGTCTGAAGGGGCACTAAAGCCACAGGCTGCCTGTGCCCTGCCTGCATCAGTCTCTGGCCCCATAAAGACACAAATTTTCCACTGACTCCTGTTTTCCTTCAGGAAGAGGCGGAGGTGTTTGGCAGATGCAGAGAGCACTGATGCCCCAAGGCCCTCTGGAGCTTCCAGCAGAGGGTTTGGATATCGGGAGTCTCAGAGACAGCAGAACACAAGGACACCTGCTCATGGCTTACACACAGCTCTGGGTGTACTCTCCCAACCTGGGGCAGGGTCCCAGGTCAGTTTGGATCCCCCTGCACACGCCTGGGAGTTATGGGATGCAGGCAGAGCTCATGGCACGCTGGAGCGGATACACTGCAGAGCAAGGGACAAAGGCCTCTACTCTCAGAACTACAAATAAGTAATGGGACACAGGACTCAGCTCAGCCTCTCACCCTCCCACAGCTCAGCACCCTGCTCTGAAATGCTCTTTACTTACATCACTTGCTAAAATGCACTTCTTGTTAAAGAAAAAAAAAAAAACAAAACACCAAAACAAAGAAACAACAAAGCAAGCTCAGCCCCTACCTGTGATGTTGTTGACTATCCTGCAGTCTCCTGTCTCGCAGCACTTGCCAAAGCTGCAGTACCAGGCAGAGAGGATCTCCAGGTAATCCTGGCCCACCAGAGGTAAGCTCCAGCCTGGAAAAGGCAGCAGGGTCTGAGCAGAGATGTTCCAGCAAGTGGCTGGAGTAGTGGCTTTTGAGCAGACATCCAGCTGAACCCTGTTAAGGGCAGCCTCTCCCAGGCGCAGGGACTCAGCCCTGGCTGTGGGGCGGGACAATCAGCTCGGAACAGGCAGCACCTGGTTCGAGCTGGCACCGAGAGCTCGACGGGTGCAAGACGTGCCTGGGGCAACGCGGGGTATGCTGAGGAGGGAGGTGCCCAGGGCAGGGACCCTCGGGAAGGGAGAGGCACCACCACAGGAGTTGGGGGCACAGAGCCCTGTGCTGGGGTAGCAGGGTGTTCGGACCCGGTGCTCATTCTGGGGCACGGCAGAGGGGGAGAACGGAGGAAGGTGCTTACCTGGGCTGGGACCGGGCTCTCTTTGTTCCTCCTTCTCCTCGCAGCCCTCCTGCCACACCTTGCACGCCAGGTACTGCCAGTACTGCTTGGAGAGGGCACTCACGGCTCCCAAGTGCTTCTTCACGGCCTCGTAGCCCTCGTAGCTCGCCCTGCCCCGCGGAGCCCGCTCCCCGGCGGGTCCCTGCCCCTCTGCCCGCGGCCGCCGGGGCGCTGGCGGGGCCCGCGGGCTGCCCGAGCCCCCCAGCAGCAGCACCAGCAGCATCAGGACACAGCAGCCCAGCCCCAGCCGGGCCGGGGGCCCGTCCTGGCCCATGGCCATGGCTCGGGGGTCCCGGGGACGGGAGCTGACCCTGCCCGGCCCTGCGGGATCTGTCCACGGGCTCCCGGCCTCTCTCCAGCCGTGAGCTCACTTCCCGGCCGCCCCACAGGGCGGGGCTGCCCGAGCGCGGCGGGGCGGCCTCGGCACGGCCCGGCCCCGGCACGGCCCCGAACGCGGGACAGCCCCAAACCCGGCAAGGCTCGGGGATAGCCCCGGCCCCGGGACAGCCCCAAACCCGGGACGGCCCCGCGACACCCCAAAACCCGACCCGGCCCGGCCTCCGGACAGTCGGACTCCGGCCCCTCCTCAGCTCGGGCCAACCCTGGCCGGGAGGGGAGGGAGCTGCAGGGATGCCCAGGGAAGCTCCCGGACACCGCTACCAGCCTGATTTCACCGAATATCTGTTTCTGATTGCACAGAATATTCCGAGTTGGAAGGGACCCCACAGGGATCATCGAGTTCCACTCAGCCTGCTCCCACAGAGCTGCAGCAGGGACAGTAAGTGCCTGAGGAAGGCAAATAATCCATTTTTTTTAGTAGCCCAAGGGCTCGGCTGAAGTTTTGCTGCCACAGACGCAAGAGACAGCGGTACTTGTTCATTAGTGCCATTTCCAAGGGGATCCCAAAAGAACGGGCATAAAAGAGGGAGCAGGAGGCAGTGGCTGAGCCAGCCTGGCAGCACAGGTTGCTGCACTGGGCTGTCCAGCCTGGATTTGTTCCTGCTGGGCTCCAGGTTCTGTTCAGGAATTAGATCAGAGCTCTGGGACAGGTACAACTCACAGCCACCACCAAGCTCATCACCATCATCCCGTTTGCTCCTCACAGTTTCTCCAAAACTTTGAAAACCCCCTCCTGCAGAGGGAAGCAGAACTGCAGTCCTTAGGGATAACTGTGCTGTGTCAGGGAATCCTGGAATCCCATGTAATCCCTGGCTCTCATTTTGGAAGTGTGTACATACACACAACACACACACTTGGCTGTGGGGGGAAGATAAAAAGTGTATAAAGCCCATATAACTTGCATTTTACCTTAAGCTGTACCCACAGCTGGCATACTGTAAAAGAGACTGAGGCCTCCACAATTACTGAGCAGCAGGACAAGGTCACCCACAGCTTATCCTGAGACAAGGCCAGGATGCTTTGGAACTGGAAAGGATTTCAAGGGTGTCCCACATGCTCAGAAAAATAAGAGGGATAATAAATGCGATTCTTCCAGCCTGGAAATTCGCCGGTACCGGTAAATGGGATGAGGGATACAGCCCAGGCATGGAGTGCATCACCATCTACAGGTGGCTGCAAATATTACACAGTGGCATTAAAAATACTGGGATTAAAAAGTTGCCCCCTCCAGCTTCAAAAACAGGCTAAAATCTGAATACCAGTTGCAATAACTTAAACAGAACTAAAAGCAGTGCAGCATATTAAAAAAAAAAAAACCCAAAAAATTTAAAAATCAAACTCACTGTAGCCATATAGCAAATTAAACTGCTGTCAGCCTTCCTGGAAACTAATTTAAGCACCTGAAGAATTTATGTACATTTATAAAAAAAATTCATAGCTGTACCATTCCAACTCTGACCTCCCAGGGTAAGTGCTTTAGCTGAAGAGAGCTCATCAAAAAAGAAAATTAGGAAAGATAAACTGACTGTCCAACACTGCTCCAGCTCCACGGTGCCAGGGAATAATTCCTGGGATGTCGCCTTGCCCAAGTGCTGCACATTGTTAAGAGCTAGAAGGGAAAATAAAACCAGTTGTTTAATAGGCCCTGGCACAGGTTGCTCAGAGAAGCTGTGGCTGCCCCATCCCTGGAGTGTCCAAGGCCAGGTTGGATGGAGCTTGGAGCAACCTGGGATGGTGGAAGGTGGAACAAGATGAGCTTTAAACCATTCCAAGAGTCTGTGATCCTAACTATTCCCTGTCTGACCTGCCCCTGCAGGTAACAAAGCACTGAAGTGTTGTGGGGGCAGAAATTACCCTCCTTGAGTAATCCAATGCCCTTTGTGGGGCCTCAGGGAAGAAATTATCCCCCTATTAGAAGGGATGCTGCAGGAGTCTGCAGGAAATCCCAGAGCACTGTGCTGAGGAGAACTCGCTCCTACCTGCCTTGGGAAGGACGGGGTTAGGAAGCACCTGGGTTTTTTGGTTCCTCTGCTGAAACCCTCACTGCAGTACTTGCTCATCTTCAGCTGAGTCTGGCAGAAGCAGCCAGAAGCTGCAGGGACCTGCATTTTCCCCAGAGATGATGGAAGGATGAGCTTGTCACTTCATGGCTGGTTATTTGTCAGTCAGTCCTGGTGAGCAGCAACCACCTGGTTAAAACTCCACCATGTTGGGTCAGCTCAGCTCTTACAGCACAGCTGCCATCTACAAAGAAAAACAGCACCACCAAAATGTGGTAATGCCTGGCTTATTCCACCCCCCAGTGCAGCTCAGGACAGGCAAACACTCAGAGGGAACCTTGCACTCCAGGAGTTTACACACAGGCTGTATCCATCCACTGCCCAGGGAAATGCCACGCACCCATCTTTTCAGGATTTTTCCAATCTCCATATAGCAATTCCTTCTGCAGATCCATAGCTGCACTCTGACAGGAGGCAGGAGAAGAGGCTCACTCCAGAGCTCAGTATAACAGCTGTGGATTAGATCACTAAATAAAAAAAAGATCCAGAATAAAGGATATGAGGCGAGTCCTTTCCCCTCCTTTATTTTTTCCCCCACGAAGTCTTATCCCCAGTCTCTTAAAAATTTTGACTCTACAAAGAAAGAACAGGTCACCAGTCCCACACTTGGGATATATGAACTAAAGACTTCATTTCTATTTTTTAGATTCAATAAAGAAATCTGTAGGGAAAGAATTTGAGAAGTTCAGGGAAAGTGCTTATTTTCAACCCCTTTTGGTTCTCCATTGGCTCAAAGTTGTTTGTGTTCATTCTTCTGTAAAATTACATTCATTACATAATCAGAAACACTTTAAAATCTCCCAGTTAAAGGAATTCTCACCCTGTTACTAAGGCCAACCACTCAAAAAATACATAACAGCACAACAAAATGCTTGGAACAACAGCTCTCCAAAGTGGTGATTTTAGCCTGTCAGAACTTAAAAGCATCTGTAGCTGTTGAACTGCTCAAACACAAGCAAAAATCCTGTCCTGCTCCCAGAGCAAACCCCCGGAGCACCTCAAAAATAGAGATAGAGGATAGGAAAAGTTATTGCCAACACACAATGCTAGGAAACAAAAGAACTCCAGAACATCCTCCCCCACAAAACCCCATAAATAAACCCCAAAACCCAGTTCTTACAGAATTCAGCAATGCTGAAGTCCAAAGTTTCAACTGAGAAACTCTAGTTTAAAGAAAAGCAGGTTCCACACAACCATGTTGATGCTACAGGACAGGTCAACCCCCGACATCCACAACTGCATCACCTCCTGCCTCCCGCTCACTAGTGGGGTATTGAGAAAACAAGTTCTGACACAGCCTGAGTAAACCTCTGCTCTCAGTGGGAGCAGATTTTGGGGGCTGTTTACCTGCTCTGTCTCAATAAAAGCTTAGGAAAACCAACCATGAGCACCTGCCAACTCTGCAACACCTCTTGCCAACTCCATATCCATCCCTTGCTCCATGTAACAAAGCCAAGCTGTTGGGACACAGCCAAGAACTCAGCTCGGGTGCTTGGCAGATGCAGGGCCATGGGATGCACTGTCAGAAAACCACTCCAACCTAGGTGTGTTTTTCTTCTTTATCCCTCTGGGACATTCTTCTTTCCTTCCCAATAAGGCTCTTGCAAACAACCTGCCTGCTTTACCCCGTTCTCGGATATACATGACTGGAATAAAGCCCACTGACAACCATTAGCGAAGGAATAACTGGGAAACAGCAGCAGCAAAACACTTTAAACATTCAGCCCACATGTTGGAACAAGAGAGAGACAGACAGGGGAGGGAGAGAGACTTAAACAATCCATCAGTGTTGCTTTATTAAAATCTTTATTCACACAATGTTGCTTTATGTGGGATCTGACCCCGGGGGATACAAGCAGAAAGTCACGATAACGTTCTGTTTGCTCATTAGCAACCTCCATTTGTGCAGCAGCTCCCGGGGGCATCCTCTGACAGTTCCAAGAGGGGTGTCTGTTTCCAGCATCTTGCTCCAGCTGCCGCAGCAAATAAATTACCTTCTTAATAAATTAGCATTTTTCAGTTGAAGTTTGTTTGGCAAGACACACTCCAGTTCATCAGCTGCTGGAAGAGGAGACGGCTCGAGTGTCTCCTCCACCCCACGGCTGGCTCAGGAGGGAGGAGGTGAACAGCAGATGGCTGATGGTGCTCTCTCTTTAATTAGTTCTTGATTTCTGTGCTTCAGGCACTCTGGTATCACCGATCTCCACAACACAACCACTGTGTAACATCTGGGGCCAGCGGATGACAAGCGTGCACAGTGAACAAGGATCAGAAGGTGTCACGAAACCCTCACTGACAGAGCACAGCACCTGCCTCACAAACCACGTTATTTTTCAGAGATTCAAGCAGACCCTGCTGGCACGTGGCTGCTGCTCCTCATTTCCCTTCCAATGGTTACAGTTTAAAATTTCTCAGGGTTCTGTATTCGAGCAAAACGACGCCAGCTGCCAAAAGGGCAGAAATTATCACAAGGCCAAGATCACGTCTTCCTGATTTTGGCTAAGAGAGGAATTTATTCTCCTTTCCTGCTGCAGAACACCAACCTCCAGTAGTGTTACAGCAACCAGAAGCATCAGTATCACAAAGAAAAAAGCAAACACAAAAAACCCAACCATTTCTTGCTTCCTCTTACTGATGATGCTGGACTTCACGCCCTTTGTTCACAAGTAAACCAAAATAAACCAATACCCTGCTTTAAATCTTTGACATTCATACTGGGGAAAAACTTATCCCAGTGTTCCATCTGACAGCAAAAGTTTCAGCTTAGAGCAATATGTAAGTTCTCAACAAATTTAATGTCAGAGACAGAAAAGACCTTTTTTTGAATCCAGTATTAAATCAAATGTAAATATCAAGAGTGATCATATGGAAATCAAAACATCAAATT